TTTCTGAAATATTCATTTTTGTAATGTTGTCCATAGTTTGCCATGATCCACACAATTGAAAGCCTTTGCCTAGTCAATAAAGCACAGGTAAACATCTTTCTGCTATTCTCTGCTTTCAGCTATGATCCATCTGACATCAACAATGATATCCCTTGTTCCACATCCTATTCTGAATCTGACTTGAACCTCGGAAGGTCTCTCTCTGTCAATCAATGTTTTCAGCCATTTTTGTATAATCTTTAGTAAAACTTTACTCGCATGGGATATCAATGATATTGTCTGATGATTTCTACATTCTGTTGGGTCACCACTCTTTGGTCTGGGCACAAATATGTACCTCTTCCAGTCATGTGGCCATGTAGTTGTCTTCCACACTTCTTGGCATAGATGAGTGAGTGCCTCCAGTGCCATATTGGTTTGTTGAAAGATTTCAATTGTATTTCATCTGTTCTTGGTGCCCTGTTCTTTGCCATGCCTCCAATGCACCATGGACTTCTTCCTTCAGGATTATTGGCTTTTGATCATATGCTACCTCTTGAAATGGTTGAACATTGACCATTTCTTTTTGGTACAGTGACTCTGTGTATTCCTTCCATCTTCTTTGATGTTTTCTGCATCATTCAATATTTTGCCCAGAGAATCCTTCAACACCACAAATTAAGGCTTGATTTTTTTTCTTCGGTTCCTTCACCTTAAGAATAGCTGTGCGTATTCTTTTTTGGTTTTCTAACTCCAAGTCTTTGCACATTTCTGTATATTTGACTTTGTCTCTTCTAACTGACCTTTGAAATTTTCAGTTCAGCTCTTGTACCTCCTCACTTCTGCCATTTGCTTTAGCATCTCTACTCTGGAGAGCATGTTTCAAAGTCTATTCTGATATCCATTTTATTCTTTTCCTTATTTCTTGCCTTCTTAATAACCTTTGGCTTTCTTCCTGTATGATGTTCTTGATTTCATCCACAACTCTTCTTGTCATCAGTCTTTAGAGTCTAATGCAACAAATCTGTTCTTGAGATGATTTTAAATTCAGGTGGCATATATTCAAGGTTGTATTTTAACTGTCATGGACTTATTTAAATTTTCTTCAACTTCAGCCTGAATTTGCATATAAGCAACTGATGGTCTGTTCCACAATCTGCCCTTGGCCTGGTTTTGGCTGGTGATATGGAGCTTTTTCATAGTCTCTTTCCACCAATATAGTCAATTTGATTACTGTGTTTTCCATCTGGTGAGGTCCATGTGTATAGTCATCTTTTATGTTGTTTAAAAAAGGTATTTGCAATAAAGAATTCATTGGTCTTGTAAAATTCTATCATGCGCTCTCCATCATACAGAATAGTTTCTAATAATGCCCTGTTCTCCACCTGTTCACCTTAGCCCTTTTCCCCTCTAAACTCCTGGTAGTCATTGATTTTGTCTGTATAGTTTTACCTTTCCCAAAATGTCATATAGTTGGAATCATTCAGTATGTAGCTTTTCAAACTGACTTCTTTCCATGGATGTTGTTGTTAAATGCTGTCGAGTTGGTTCCTACTCACAGTGCTGCAGTATATTGTTTTCAAGGAGTGGCTGGTAAGTTTGAACCACCAACCTTGTTGTTCCAACTAACCTTATGATTCAATGCATTATCCTACAGCACCACATCTGGACTCCTCTTTCAATGAATAGTAAATATTTAAAGCTACTCTGTGTCTCTTTGTGATCTGATAACTCATTTCTTTTTATCATGTAATAATATCCCACTGTGAGGGTTTATCACAATTTTTTTTAGCAGTTCACCTATAGAAGGAAATTTGGTTGCTTCTAAGTTTTGATAATTATGAATAAAGGAAATATAAGCATATACGCAAATGTTTTTATCTAGATATACACTTTTAACTCATTGGGGTAAATGTCTAGAGCATGATTGTATGATAATCTATGTTGAGCCTTGTAAGAAACTGTCAAATTGTTTTTCAAAATGGCTTTATCATTTTGCATTCACACCAGCACTGTTTTCTGCACTTGGCCATTTGTGATTCTCTGCATGTCCCTGTCTCCTCAGTTTATTGGGTGAAATTTTGCCTGTGACCTCAATTCTCTGATGGATCCAAGAAGAACTGTTGATTTTCAGTTTATTTAGCTTTTCTCACTGTAAGGATGAGAGTTATGACTTCCAAATTCTTTACATGTTAAGCTAAATACCTCAATATTTTAACTTTAAAAAATTTCATTTCATAGTATTAATTGAGCTCTATTTACAATAGCTCAATTTAGTTGGCAGAAATGCAGTATTATCTTCTTCTTGAAACTTAGTGATGGTGGTTGTGGTGGGGCCATGGAGTCGATTCCGTGTCATAGTGACACTGAATAGGTTTTTTTGTTTTTTGGTTTTTGTTTTTACAGGAGCAGAAAGCCTCATCTTTCTCCCACGAAATAACTGTCCTTGAGGTTAGCAGCCCAACTCGTAATCAATATGCTACCAGGGCTCCTTAACTTAGTAAAAAACATAAAAATTTGAAAATTTCTCAAAACTGATATGAAGTTATCCCTTTATTTAAAAAAAATCTTTATAAGCAATTTCAGTTTAATTTCTAGTTCACAGTGAGGTGACTGACCACTCTCAGTGACATTTCAAAACAGGAAAGACTGAAAGTGGGCATGTGTCATTCTAATTTACAAGAAAGGAAAAGTATGGGTTCTATAAGTAATATAAGCAAGTGAACTTGACAGTGATCCTGCCATATTTATAGAGTGAATGGCTCAGGGTGACGATGCTGTGGAGTTTTATAACATATCAGATGGGGACTTGGGCTTGGTACATGACTGTCCAGAGGTGGACAAGAGACAGTGTCATACTGTGAAATCATCCATGTGCCTTTGTCATCCTCAAGGCATCTCTGGGTTCAAGGAGATGTTCTTGTTGCCATTATTTCTCATTTAAGGAGCTCTGGTAGCATAGTGTTTATGAATCAGACTGCTTACCTCAAGATCAGCAGTTCAAAACTACCAGCTGTTCTGTGGGAGAAAGATGAGGCTTTCGGCTCCTGTAAACATTTACAGCCTCCGAAACCCTGTGCAAGGTCACTATGAGTCAGAACTGACTCCACAGCACATAACCACCACCACCACCACCCATTTAATGAGAAAAGGGAACAAGTGAATACTCATTTCCTCAATGTGTTGACAAGGTATGGATATTTTGTCTGCATCTCCACTATGGAAATAACCAAGAGAATGTATCTTCCATTGGCTACCAATAGGCAACTACTAACTTGATTTTCAAATATCCAACCCCTATCTATTGAGAATTCATGAAAATTTGTGGTAGCCTTTTTGGAGCAGCAACTATGGAACAGCAGATTTTTCTGTAGGGATTAGCCTAGTTAATTTGACAAGATATAGAAGGTAACAAAGAGGCCCCAAGTGTGAGACTTGAGTGAATTATCTAAATTCAAACACCTGTTTAACATACGTATTCTCTTTTTGGCATAGATACAAGTACTTTGCATATATTACAGTAAAAAGACATTTACAAAGGCCATGATTTGGGGACCCACAAGATATTTAAGATCTAACCCTATGTTTTGAATTCCCTCTGGGACAGTAGATGTATGAAAATAAAGAACACATTTTAATTTCAGATCTGAGACAAACCTCGAATACAGATACTAACATAAGAAAAGTGAAAGAAGAAAATGAAGAAAAAATTCACACAGGAGCTTTACAAGGAATGCATTCTGTGCTCTTGTGTCTAGATAATCATATAGGAACTGGGTTTCCAAGTAATTAAATGACAAAATGTCCAGATTCAAAGAGATCTTCGACACCACTTAGTCCAAAATCTTTTTTTTATAAAGAAGAAATTGAATTTCAGATACTGGCAAGCAACTTGTCCCTGTCAAACAGCCAATGAGAAGCTTGAATTTCTAGGTTGGGATGAAGATACATACAAGGGAAGATGGACGTGAACTATGTTAAATAATAACCTAGAAAATCTCTCCTAAGAAAATCATACTTACAATGGTCAAAAGAAGATATTGTGAATCTAGAATTTCAAGGTTCTTGTCTCTAACAATCAAAAGAGAAGCTAGCAAGCTTTGAGTGCTTAGAAATATCATGTTACATGGATTCATTTATTTTCTTCAAATTGTACTTTTATTTTACAGATGCTAATACATGAATCTATTTATTCTCCTGTTTGTTCAACCATTTATTATACACTTACTATTACAGGAAGCTTAACCATTTTTAGTTGGCTTAATGAAGCAGTTCTGTGAAGTTTTCAGCACAAATATCTCTATGTCTGTTGTGAGCTGTATTTAACAATGCTACTTTATAACATGGCTCATTTCTGGATTTTTAAGATTTTTCAAAGAGCACAGATAGAATTAGGGATATAGGTGTGGAAGCAAAACTTGAAAATTGTGAGCTAGAGAACAAATGGACAGGAATTGTCTCTTTTCCTTTGGTTTGACTGCACTTTTAATCTAATTATTAGACATTAGGGAGAATCCTTGGGTTAAAAAGAAGGGAAATAGGCATTCTATACCTGGAACTAAAAGGAGCTGAAGAATGCTCACCAAACAAAATATTCAGGACTAAGAGACAGTTGAGCTTTACAAATATTGTTTGCCTGCTTTGTTGCCTCTCATTATTTCTATCCCTATCTATTCTTTTCTCTACTCCAAGAGTAATATAAAACCTTTTCTCATAGTATAAATATCAACTAGGAGTAGGAAGAGCTTGTGGAAAGCAGTCCTGTGTAAAGATCTATATGCTTTAGTATATGTTGTTGTTAAGTACTGTCAAGTCAGTTCTGATTCATAGCAACTCTGCCTGTATAGTGTTTCCAAGGAGCAACTGGTGAGCTTGAACTGCCGACTTGTGCATGAAGTATATGTAGAGGTTTTGAAATGAGACCTTCAGAATCAAGAAAGGAGAAGCAATGATTGATGCTGGAAACAAATTGTTTGTGCCAGAAAGAAACTGTTGATGTAAATGTCTCTTGTGTGGTGGCATCAATCTTCTTTGGGATCTGGATTAGGTTGTGGTTTCAGATGTTTGTTGCCTCTTTTGGTCCTCTTCATCTTCAAGAACAATTTGAATTGCCACTTGGTCAAGATAAACAATCCTGTGTCCACAATAAACAGGATCCCCACCAGCAATGGGATAAAACATAGCAGCCAGTAGTTGTCAATTTTTTTATCTATAGTTGCAACAAGAAGCATAATACATATTAGGAATAGAAAAAATTATGCTCAGGGTTTTATCCTCCCTACATGAGCACCCAGCATGACCCTCCATCATCTAGCATACTATGACAGATAGAAAACACTCATGAGATTGCATCCCTCAGTATGTGCTTCCTGGATTTTTGGGGACCTCTGAGTATCTTCTTATAATACCTGTTTTATAGTCCCTTTAGCCTGTATGTCCAATGTGGATAGTCATAGAAAAGATGAAACCTTTCTTGGACTGATATGTTAACATTCACATTCAAGGGAGATTCAAAAAGTTTGTGGACAAGTTCCATAATTTCTAACGCCATTTTTTTTTCATGAAATTTTTGAAGACTCTTTGTATGATTTATGGGATGGTAAAACGGTAAAGAAAGGGCAGGGAATTGCCAATGCCTTGCATCTTAGTTAATCACTCATCATTTCTTGCATACTGGTAGCTTACAATGAATGTCTTGGATTCAATCATCCTTAAGTTGTCTCCAAAATCAACTATTTTGTGATTATTCTATTAAGAAGTCCTGGTGGTGCTGTGAGTTTTGTGTTGGGGTATTAACTGAAATATTGATGTTTCGAACTCACCATCTGCTCCAAATGAAAAAGCTGAGACTGTCTTCTCATGTAAAGATTCACAGTCTCTGAAATCCTACACAGAGTCGCTGTGAGTCAGAATCCACTTGATGGCAGTGGGTTTGGGTTTTTTTATGTGGGTTATTCTACTTAGAAATTTTTGGTTTTGTGATAGTTCTAGAATTACAGAGCCCCAGCTAGAAATCAATTATAAATCAACTAGACCAATGGTTCTTAAAACTGGCTGCATATAACTATTGCCCAGAACAGCTTTTTAAAATATTGACTCCTCTAAACTAATTAAAACAGAATCTCTAGGGATGAGACATGGGCATCAATATATATTTTTTAAGTTTCCAAATGATCTTAATGCAATTTAGACCATACTCTTGATCTTACGTATGAGGATACCGAAAAGCCAGAGACAATTAAATAGGTCCAAGACCTCCAATTAGTTAACAGAAAAGTGCCATTAGAACTTAATTCTGATTTCTAACAGAAGTCTATATTATTAATGTCTATATTATAATAGACATTAGTATGAGTAAGGTCTGTCATGTAAGAAGTCTTATTTCTTCCTTGAAAGCAAATATTAAAAGGTTCCTTCTTGTGATGGTTAAGGTTATGCTTCTCTACAGAACCCAACCTAAGACACGTCTTTTGTCACACAAAGTTCAGAAAGAGCAATTTACCTCATAAGCCATGAAGGCAGTCCAACTGCCTGCCCTCTCTTCATCATTCCATATTTCTCATCCCCCTAATACACAGGAATCCAGTTTGCTGATTTACTGATTTACTTTCCCAGTCCTCCAAGGTTGGGATGGACTCTTTAATCTCTTCACAATATATATTTTTTAAACTTTGAAACACCTTTTTAATTTGGTAAATGTAAGTGTTTTCTTCAGGAGAAACAGCTGACATTGAGAACAAAATATCAATCCACTCTGTTATACTTGGGTAGTCCTTAATAGTCTACAAAGCTATCTTACAAATATTATCCCATTTAATGTTCATGAAAATTCCACAGTGTGATTACATGTAATTATTGCCATTTAACAAGTAAAGAATCTAAAACAGGGATTAAGGGACATATCCTTTCCAAGATATTGCAGTTGTCCAACTCTAAACTTTGCTTTCTCTTCCTTCTCATACTATGGACTCTTTCTTCTTTTACCAACTCACCTTTTACAAAAACTGCGAGGGACTTAGAGACATAATGTAACTTCTGAATAAATCCCTCACAATGATAGGTGCCGTTGTCTTCCAGTGAGGCCTTTTGAATGGAGATGTTATGATTCTCATACCAGTACTTAAAGGCTTTGCCATCCTTGTAGTAGATCACTTTGTAGGCATCCAAATTCTTCCAACTGTGGCACCTGATTTCTAAGGGCATACCCACTGTCACTTCTTCGGCAGAGACTTGAAGGAGCAGCCAGTCTGAAAAAAATCACTATGTTATTTATTTTGCAGTAAATTAATAGATACATTGCTAGACAAAAAAAAGAGTATCATGCAAGAGTGTGTACCTGAAGCCAAAGATTAATGTAACCAGTTTCTTGGATGGAGATGTCAATAAAAAAAGGAAAGACTAAATAACATTTAGAACCTAACTTTTATATTGATAAATCCTACTTCCTCCTGAAAAATCAGTCTGTAGGCATAAAGACTTTCTAAAACTTTCTACTCAAGGAGCTCTGGCAGTGTAGTGCTTACAAATCAGGCTGCTAACCTCAGGGTCATCAGTTCGAAACTACTAGCTGTTCCATGGGAGAAAGATGAGACTTTCTGCTCCTGTAAAGATTTACAGCCTCGGAAACCCTGTACAGGGTTGCTGTGAGTCGGAACCAACTCCACGGCATATCACAACACAACAACAATCTTTCTACTCAGCCCATCTATTGAAACCAGAATTTCCTTCATATCTACTGTTGCTTATTAGAGCACTAAGAATGAAATAAATCTAATCTGCCAGGGAATTTTTAGGATAGAATATTTTCTATTTTGTTTTCTCTCAGCTTATAGGGGCTTCTTAGTTCTACTATTAGTTATAGTTTGTTCAGAAGTTCCTCACGACATGTTATTGTGTGCCATTAAGTTGTTTCTGGCTCATAGTGATGCAAAGGACAGAGTAGACTTGTCCCATAGAATTGTCTAGGCTGCAATATTTACAGGAACAGATAACTGGATCTTTTCTCCCATAGGGTTGTTGGTGAGGTCAAACCACTAATCTTTAGTTAACAGCTGTGCACTTACTCATAACACAATCAGAGCTCCCTCAGAACAAGTACAACAATTTAATTCACTCTTTGTGTCATTATGTATTCAATTTGGCTGTATGTTCCAGGAAGGTAGAGAGCATGTCTTTATTTATTTTTTTTAAACATTTTATCCTGAATGTCAAACAGAGGACCTAGAAGTAAATAGGTGCTCAAAAAATCTTTGCCTGCAAAAGGTCAGTTATGAATTGAACATTGTGCTTTATTGACTATGCAAACACTTTTGACAGTGTGGATCATGACAAACTCTGGGTACTATTGTGAAGAATGGGTATTCCAGAACATTTAGTTGTATTCATGAGGAAACTGTACCTAGACCAAGATACAGTTGTTAAAACAAGTGGATACAGAATGGCGTGAAATCAGGAAAGGTGTATGCCAGGGTTATATCCTCTTACCACATGTATTCAATCTGTATGCTGATAGCAAGTAATCTGAGAAGTGGAATTACATGAAGAAGAATATGGCATCAGGATTTGAGGAAGATTCATTAACAACCAGTCATATGCAGATGATACAATCTAGCTTGCTGAAAATGAAGAGGACTTAAAATCAAAGACTACAGCCTTCAGTGTGAATTGTACTTCAATGTTAAGAAAACAAAAATCCTCACAACTGGACCAATAAATAACATCAGGATAAATGGTGGAAAGATTGAAGTTGTCAAATACTCATGTAAGCAACAATAAAGAAACAATATTATGTATTGCCTTAGGCAAATTGACGCAAAAGATCTCTTAAAAGTGTTTAAGAGCAAAGACAGTAGTTTGATCCAAGTCATGGTACTTTCAATTGCCTTACATGCATGTGAAAATTGGACAATGAATGAGGAAGACAGTAGATGAACTATTGCATTTGGATCATGGTGTTGGAGAAGAATATTAAAAGTACCATGGATTGCCAGAACAACAAACAAATCTGTGTTGGATGCAGTGCAGTCAAAATGCTCTTTAGAAGTCAGGACAGTAACACACTGTCGCTCCTACTCTGGACATCAGGATGGACCAGTTCATGGAGAAGGACTTCATGTTTGGTAAAATGGAAAGTCAGTGAAAAAGAGGAAGGCATCCCCTCACCCAACAAGATGGATTGGCAGAAATAGTGGACTCAACTGTAACAAGAATTGTGAGATTGATACCGGAATGGACAGTGCTTTGTTTTGTTGTACATTGTAGTTAAGTGTTAAGTCCATTCCGACTCATAGCAACCCTGTACAGAGTCTCCAAGGAGCCGCTGGTGGGTTTGAACAGCTGGTGGGCTTGTGCTAGTGAATTATCTTGCAACACCACAACAGGACTCCATTGTGCATAAGGTTTCTCTGATTCAGAACCTTCTCAAAGCCACAAAATAAGACCTTGGTTCTGTTTTAAAAAAACCAGCCACAAAATAAGGCCTTGGTTCTGTTTACTAAAACCATTGAAGTAATTGAAGAAAAAGAAAATCTGAGTGGAAATGTGGAAAGTTTGTGCAAGTGTGTTTTATGTAAGAGTAATTCTTGAAGACTTCTAGAGGATCTACTCCAAAGAAATGCAAAATCTATTCTATGTTTATGGTGGTGATATGTTGTGAACTCGGTTCTGACTCATAATGATCCTGAATAGGGTTTCCAAGGCTGTAAATCGTAATGGGAGAGAAAGCCTCATCTTTTTCCTGTGGAACGGTTAGTAGTTTCAAACTGCTGGCCTTGAGGTCAGCAGCCCGACTCGTAATCACTTTGCCACCAGAGCTCCTGGAAGAATGAGTAAGGGTAGAAAAAAAAAGATGGATGGGTCTTGAATGAAAGACACTGAGTTCCATCCTGGTGTCCCTAAACCTTAGAACAACCTATTTCCTACCCCATTTTCAGATGGATCATTCTTCCCATGGGAGAAATTTGATTCCCATAGCCCTGAGACTTACCACTGAAGACTTTCAGCCACACAGGTTTGCTCACTTCACTTTCTATGCTCTGACATGTGTATTTCCCACTGTTATTGGAGTTGGCATTCACGATGTCCAAATTCAAAGTCGTCGTTGATAAAATGGTGTCATTGAGGAACCACTTAATGGAGTTGGCTTCAAGGGAGTTGTTCCCAGTACATATAAGTGTCACATTCTCTTCTCTAAATATTGTGTTCCATGGGGGAATCAGTGAAATGTTAGGCTTCTGGGTGGCTTCAAAGAGATTAAAGTATAGAAAGAGATATACCAAAATCAAACCCACTGCAATCAAGTCGATTTTGACTCGTTGTGATCCTATAGGACAGAGTAAAGCTGCCCTATAGGGTCTCCAAGATTGCAAATTTTTTTCCAGAAGCAAACTACCACATCTTTCTTCAGTGGAACATCTGGTCTGTTTGAACTGCTAATCTTTTAGTTAGCAGCCAATGGCATTAATTGCTGTATTACCAGGGTTCCTTGGAAAGAGATAAAGAGGGTCAAAATTATTGAACACTGTCCAGGATCAAAAAGCAAGCGTATCTGTAGCCAGACAATCAATGTTTGGTCAAACCTTGTAGTGCTGTTGATAGGACTCTTTCCTGATTCTCAGGAAAAGGATTAAAGGAAAAAGGAACACAATGTTGTGGTTCCAAGGAGCTCCCAATCTAGATGAAAGATAGGACACAAATGCAGAATATTTTAAACCAAACAAACAAAGCAATTTATTGTGGGATTTAGAACAATTGATTCTAATTAAAAAAAAATTGATTACGGTATCTGTAAAATCAGGACATCAATCTCTTTTTAGAAAGAGGCAACCACTGCCCAACACAATGGTAAATGTTCATTAAGTGCTTACTGAGTGGATGAACGAGTGAACACTAAATGAATTAAATGTATAATACAAGATGGCAGATGAGTTATCTCCCAGTTGTGCATTTTTACAATGAGATGCATGTTGTTGTAAAGTGCCATGGAGTTGATTCCAACTCATAGAAACCCTGTCGAGGGTTTCCAAGGGGCAGTTGGTGAGTTTGAACCATCAGCCTTGCAATTAGCAGTCCAGTACTTATCATATAGCACCACACCGGGACTACAACTAGGTGTATGTGGGGTACAACATGTATATAATACTAGAGGGCAGTGAAACATACTAAGAGTATCAGTCTTTAGTGGCTTAAAGTATCAAAGAAATATGAAGATTTTCATAAAGGCCAGGAAAGTCACTAGATAATGATGAAGAAGAAATGATAAAGGAATTACAGAAGAGAATTAGACTTGTGTACAAGGTACATATTTTGTATCTTATCCCTTGTTATCTGTATCATCTCCAGAAAATCACTTAATCTTTCTCAGTTTTAGCATTTGCAATTATAAAATAAGAATTCCTGTCTCCTAGAATTATCATGACAATTGAATGATACTATGTGAAAATGCCTGGGAGAGCAACTGAGACATTTAGATATGCAACAGATATGTCTGAGAGGGTGACTTCAGACAATGAAATAGTATGTGTGAAGATTTCAAATGGAGGGAAAGAGAAAAGGCAAGGCTTGGGATGCAGGTTGGTCAGAGAGGATATCATCAGAAAACTATTAGGAAACCACTAGATAACCATTAGAAACCAGTCCTGGTGTGGCTCTGTAAGACAAGCAACATCTGCTTGTGAATGCAACAGCACAAACAAAAGAAAACAGAGATGATGGGAGGAGAGGAAGCAGTAAGCTAGAGGAGAGCAATGCCCAGACACATTGAGGAACCAAGGATGGCATACTTACCTGCTAGCACGCCAGTTGAAGCTGCAAAAAAGTCCAGAGAAGATAGGTTAACATTTATTCCTAGCCTTCTAGGACACCTGAAGGCTGACATTTGGATGTGGGACAAAGTCCATTTCCCTGAAATTGTAGGGGCCAGTATTCTCAGTAATCTGACCCAAGGAGAAAATGAGCTTTCCTCTTTCATCTCCCATCTCTCCTATGGTAAGAATCTTGCACTCTGCTCAAGTGATTGGAAGGAGACAGACTGTCAGTTTGACTTCTCCCTTAGGTGTTGCTCAGCCCAGCTTACTCGGCTTTTAGCCTGCCTCCGCTGCAGAATTCCCATGATTTACGCATATCCTGGAAAATGTCACCACTAAAACTGCCAAAGTTCCCACCCTGACCACACTTGAAACCTATTTTCCACCCTCCAAGAAGGGTAACTGAATCTCTACTCACAGAAGAGCAGCAAGGATATCCATAGCAGGACAGGATTTCTCATAGGAGCCTGCATCTCCTCTGTGTCCCCAGGTGTCGACTAGGTTGGAGAGACCTAAGGCCTTAAAATAAGCTTGAAACCAAAAAAGGAGAAGGAAATGATTATTTGTATTATATCTGGTTAACTCATCAATTGAAAATTGGTCTGCCTCCTTCTCTGGAGATAATATTCAGAGTGACTCTGAATTGGAGTTTGATATTACTCCTTTTGTCCATTCCCCATGCCACCTCTATGTGTTTTATTGTTGTTGTTAGGTACTGTGGAACTGGTTCTACTTTTAGTGACCCTGTATATGATTTCTGAGGCTGTAAATTTTTATGGGGGCAGAAAGCTTAATCTTTCTCCCATGGAGTACCTGGGGGCTTGAACTATCAACCTTGTGGGTAGCAGTCCAGTGCTTATCTCGACTGCTTCCCCACTTCTATATGTTGTTGTTATTGTTAAGTGTCCGCAAGTCAGTACTGACTCCTGTATAGGGTTTCCAAGGAACAACTGGTGAGTTTGAACTGCTGACCTTGTGGTTTGCAGTCCAGTGCTGATCCTATAGTACCACACCTGGAATTTTGTGGCAGGGAGACACAGTACTAGCCCCACTGCCACAGTGTTTTCTTAAATTGTCAATCAATGTACAGCTATTTATTTACCAACTTAGAAAAATGGAGTGGAGAGTCGAATAATATAACAACTTATCATTGAGTCCTTTGTACAGGCATGGGTAAGCACACAACAGCTGTTGGTGGTTGGAACCCAGTCAGAGATGCCTCAGAAGAAAATTCTTGTGATCTGCTTCCCAAGGGTCGTAACCATGAAAACCCTAAGGAGTGCAGTTCTATTCTGTAATGTGTGGGATCACTATGAGTTAGAATGGACTCATAGCAATTATTTTTAGTTTTCTTTTGGTTTGATTTAGTACATGCCAGAAACTCTATGAAATAATTTACATCTGGCATTTCATTCATTTCCACAATGAAAAAGATGCTATCAATATCTGCATTTAATAGAAACACTGAAGTTTAAAGAGCACCACATAATAAATGCTCAATTTAGGGTTCATACATATAAAATCTAGCCCCCAGAATAAAGCTGCTAATCATAAAATATATTGTTTATTCATATCCTGGAATATGGACAGCAACTGCCAACATTTGGGGGGTGCATTCTCCTGAACTAGCAATCTTCTTGCTACCTAATTATCTGTTTACTCATTAGTCCACAAATTCTCAAAGTTTGATCTCATTCCTTCAAGATTCACTGTTTGAAGAGTCCTGTTGTGGTGCTGTAGGATAAGCACTAGACGACAGGTCAGTTTGAAACACAAGGTTGGTGGTTCAAACTCACCACGCGCTCCTTGGAAACCCTATACAGGGTCGCTATGGGTCAGAACCAACTTAATGGCACTTAACAACAACAACTGATATAAATGCTAAAATCAAGCAATTATTTCATCCTACTCTCACAAAACTGATTACATTTCTGTTAATGTCTACATATCTTTTATCTTATTAAAAAAATGTTTATCAAGTTTCATATCAACTATAGGATGAAGTGTACAGCTAATTTTTTGTACCAAACCTGTCAACTACAGGAACATGTGCTCACTAAAATAGAGTCTTGAACTCACTTATTACTATAAAATTTAAAATCTGAATATACGTGTATTTGATACACATATACAGCATTTCAGTTCCCAAATTTTGATGTGTCATCGATTCTCAGAAGTTTTATTTCACTTTGTGGTTATGAATGAACTACCATAGGGCCTATGGTAGCGTAGTGGTTATGAATTGGGCTGCTAATCTCATGGTCAGCAGTTTGAAACTACCAGCTGTTCTGTGGGATAAAGATGAGACTTTCTGCTTCTGTAAAGATTTACGGCCTCAAAAACATAGCTGTACAGGGTCGCTATGAGTTGGAACTGGCTCCACAGAACATAACAACAACAGGGCCTATGGACTATGAGACAACCCTGTGGCTGGTTCCAGAATGAAATGTGCTAGGTAGTAACTTTTGTGCCTTAGGACAACACTGTTGTTGTTGTTGTTATGTGCTGTCAAGTCGGTTCTGACCCATAGCGACCCTGTACAGGGTTTCTGAGGCTGTTAATCTTTATGAGACAAGAAAGCCTCAACTTTCTCCTGCAGAAAAGCTGGTAGTTTCGAACTGCTGACCTTGCGGTTCACAGGCCGAATCGTAACCACTACACTATTTGAGACTCCGCCCAAAGAATGCCTTGGTTTTTGTAGTCTTCTCCAAAATTGAGAAATAGGCAGTATTGGAATGCTATCAGGAAAAGGGTTCAACAATCAACAGTGCTCCTTACAGTGAGATGCTCAATGAAAAGCTTAACTACAGAGGACTGCCATCCAAGAACATTGTGATCTTTCATGACAGCGTACATCTGCACACCTCTGCCCACACTGTTGATACTGCAAAAGAGTCATTTTAAGGTGTTAAAGAAACCTCCCTATAGTCCTTATCTTTTTTTTTTAATGTTTTATTGTGAATTATGTGATAGTTTACATGGGAGAACATTAGTTTTACATTCATCATATCATATATCATTTCATTGCCATG